GGAAAAGAGGAAAGAATGGGAATCGAAGTTCTTCGCGATTTCACAAAGCGCTCGAGTCAATCTGGAGACATGTTTTGTGGAAAGTTGATGAACAATAAGGAATCTTATCAATGATTGTTCGCATAATTAAAAATGTGCATGATGCTTCGTAAGTGCAATGCGAATAGATGGCAGGTTCGAAAAACTTGTGTTTTGAGCGTGGTATGGAGAAGGGCAGGTAGGAGAGGAATCTCCACCACTACTTCCAATATTTCCTGATTAGTTGCTCAAGCCAATAAAAAGAAGTGAAAAAAGGTGTAAAAACTGTCCTGTACTTGCAGATCATTTTGTATCTCCATCAGACTGCTCCTAACTCTGAAGCTGAGGTGTTGTAATACCAGACTAAATTAATTTAAAGAGGACGAAGTGCATAGAAATTCCTGCAATCCATAATTCACCCGAAGTTGTGAAAAAGACACCAGAATATCTGTAAAATGGCTGGTGAACAAGTGAAAAACGAAGTTACGAGATGCTGTGCTTTGGCATTAGCAGGAAATTAGAAATTATTTAAGCTCAGAAAGAACAAAAATGTTGGCAACAGCAGTATGTTACAGACATATAGGGCTTGCATTCCAAAGAACATCCATTTCTATGCCTTGGAAACGGTAGCACTTAAGAATGCTGAAAAAAGAAAACTAGAAGCGACGAGCGTAAATGAAGACCTTAAAATCAATGCTACGAATAGAGTGGTCGACCTGGTGTCAAATGGTGCTACCGCAAGAGAGTAAAATGCCCAACTAAAACGACAAACAAACAGTTCAAGATGGCGTGCTCACTGTCGGCGAATGAACGCTAGTTGACTTGTGAAGCGAATAGTCTATGCAAACCCTAATGGCAGACGGTCACCAGGAAGACTTTCAATAAGATGGGAAGATCTCATTCACGCATTTAATCGATCCTCTGCAATGCTAGTACAGCATCCGGCATCGATTTCAATGCAGTTGAATACGAAGACATAAACGAGAAAAACTATAATCTCGAGCTATTTTTCGTGCGGTTGCAAACACTTCCCCATAAAAAACTCATTACTGGGCAAACAGCCACAAGTGGACATGAACTGACAAGATATTACACGAGAAAAGAACACTGTAAATGAAATCAATTGCTGACGAAAGTGTAACGAAGGCGTATGCACCAGTACCTACAGATCGCTCACGGATTTTTACTTTGCCTTCGCTGCTGGGTGTAAAACAACAGTTCCACGCGAATGATCTCTCGGATTCAAAATCATCGATCTGCTAGCGCAACGTCAAATCAGAAGCTATCAGGATTAGATGGGGTATCGACATCTCATGTCAAATGTCACAGAGCTTCCTCAGATGGTACAATGGTCATTTTTCGCGCGTTCTGACGCCCGTGTTACTGTTCGCCCATACATGGCCGGTTCGCTGCTAGTTCATCAGATGTGTCATGCAGCGCTACGGGGAGGTAACAAAATGCGTTGGCAAAGCAAGTTTTATCACCGAAACAGTATTGTGCTTTCAGGCATGGATCAACGAATCAACGAACAATCCTAACAACGACCCCAAAATCGAAAACGTCAAATCTTTCAGCTGTACTTCTTTCCATAGGCAACACTGACGCATTAACTGTATAACGATGCTACAGATTTACAGACGCAGTCACAACCATACTTGGCCGCATGTTTAGCTTTAACTCCTGAGGGTAAATCTGGGTGGCTTTCTGCTCGTCTGTGGCTCCCGCATTGCTCAACGGATCATTCTAGAATAATCAACACAATAGATCACGATCAAAAAATAAAGACTTTTCTGAAAAAGCAAACCCTGGAAAAGATCTGGCCACTTTTCGGTTTTTCTATGTAATAATCCACGCAGCCGTTCGCCTTCAGCCGTTCTGAACTATCGCAACGAGAATGTTGGTCAGGAAATCCCTGAAAATGACTATCGTTATGCTCAGAGTTAAATTTACTGTCGGTAGCGTCATTACTTGCATAGTACACCAGGCACATGACGGATGTTGCTGAATGCAATGACCGCAC